TATGTATTCATTGTTGCACCTTTAAAAAGTATAATGCATTGAAAAATATTATGACAAAAATCGATTTCAGCTGTAACAACGAACCTACAAATATTGTAATGCAGGGCTTGACATTAACGCTTGTCCGCTTGGTGAATTTTTCTGAAAACCCAATGAAGGCATTAAACATTTATTTTAAATCAAATGAAAATTAAACCCTTTTATTTTTTGGCAAACAAACTGAGGTTTACTGTTGAAATGTATACATGAAAGAAAAATGTTGTCAATATTCCTTTATATATATATACAGTATCCTTTAAATATTTTTTAATAGGCTAATAATTGTATAATTTTTTCTACAATTAAGTAATTAATCTGGATGTAATATTTATTTTTATCATTTAATTGTTTTATTTAAATTTGAAAGAAAATTGAATATTTAAATATGTACATTATACTGTACAAAAGTAATACGAGAGTAATATATTTATGTTACATGTTAAACCGTACTTTTATTTTTACAGGTTGCCATGAAGTTTCTGTGTGTATACAGTATGATGATGCTAGTTTTCTCAAATGAAACGGTAAAATTATCGCGAAGTGGCTCTCACAGCAGCTCTGGAGATTAAGTTTTTGTGTTCATGCCGTCATATAGTGAGTCGCAGAGGCCGGAAATCACCGCGAGTGTCACGCGTGCTTCAGTATTTGTGCAGTAAACAAAACCGCGTTTTTATGAATGGACTCCACGATCCCATCCGCATTTTTGCAGAAACCATATTGTCCCTAGAAATTTAACCACACTTCAGAACATTTCAGCCTGCCCTGTGTGTTGTTTGAACGAGTTGCAGGGGTGACGTCACGTCACAGGGTCTCTCTTTCTCTTTCTGTAGCGTATGTGCCCAGATGCGTTCTTAGGTACCGAAATTGGGCACCGATTGATTTAATGTGAATTGGTACTCGGTAGTACCGACGCAATTCAGTCGGTACCCTTAAAAGTACAGAGTTCGGTACCCAACCCTAGCAGAATAACAGCACAACTGCCAGTTCTATCTATACATGAAACAAGTATGGGTTTGATTCAGGTGCATTTCTTGTTTTATCTGTAATTAACTTCATAAAAACAATCTGTTTCTGTCTGTGTGAGGTGGATGATTTTGTTCTCTGCTCAAAGGAGCTTCTCTCCTCCGGTTTATCCTGTGGGTGGCTCAGTGCAGATCCATCTCTCACGTTAATAATGTCCTGACGTGAGGAGAGTACAGCCAAGAAGAGCTATGTTACACCTGCACTGCAATACAACACAACACAGGATCATTACACGCTCCCCATCACCACCTAAATAAACACTGAATGCACAGGTGTGCACATGAATGGAGGTCCATGTGCTCTATAAGCATTATTTCCTAACTTTGTGACTGTCATCATGAAACATAATAAAGAGAACTTTGCAGAGGAAGGACATGTAGCAGAATTACAGGAGATCTGTGTGCGTTCAAGTGCTTTAGTATCCTCTCAGGACCTAATCTCCAGCTAAACCTTACGATCTGTCTCCATCAATCTTGAGAGGCTGGACGATCTGCATTAGGCACCGATGGAATGACGTGCTCAGGTTCCTTCAGACCTGAGGGCAGAGTTTGATTCCTATATAGTGCTGCTCTGCTGAAAGACGTTTCTCATTTCATGCTTCATGTGAACAGACCGGTGTATGTTCAACATGCAGCTCACGGAATCAGATACGGTCCGACAGCATGCTAAGCGTTGAATATATAAAAGTCCAAGCATTTTCTTAAAGGCATAGGTCACACATTTTCAGTATTTGCTCACGTTACAAATCTGTGTGAGGTTGAGCAAATTTGACAGAATTTCCATTTAAGAGTGAACTATTCTTTTCAAGCCTGTTCTGACAGAAACTGGCAGAAGTATTGTTAAAAAAAGGCAGGAAATTGAGTTAAAGGGGGAGTGGGATCAGAAACATTGCCTACACATACCTACCAACCACGCAACACATGGCACACACACACAACGTTAATGTCTCTGACATAAAAAAATTCTGTGCTTGTTTAAAAAACAGCAAAATGTAGGATGCATTTAAAAAAAATAATACATTTACATATACAGTATATAATTCAAATAATAATAATCATTTAATGTAGAGCCCGACCGATATGGGTTTTTGAGAGCCGATGTCGATTCCGATATTAGGGAGTAAAAAAGGCAGATATCGATATATATCGGCCGATATTCTTTATGTGTACATTATAGGACAATACCAGTCAAAAGTTTGGACAAACTTCCCATTCGTGTGTCCAAACTTTTGACTGGTAATGTATATAGAATACAGTAATATAGTAATGCAGTATACATAACAGAATAAATATATAGATAAACACATTTTTTGCTATGATCACTCAAATGTGGTGATCAAACACTTATAATAACGTGACAAATATATGTAATGGAGGCAGGGTAACAATTTTAAAAATAAACTTTATTATCCAAAATGAGTCTGACATCAGTGCACTGAACAGTAAAGTTGAAGTTTATTCAACTTTATTTAAATTAAATTCCATTCAACTTTATTCCATTAAAGTTTATTTTACTTTGGAACATCATTCACGGATTTGCGCAACGCCACTGTCTTCACACACAGATGAAAGTGATGAAAGTGAAAGTGACGTGTAGCCAAGTATGGTGTCCCATACTTGGAATTTGTGCTCTGCATTTAACCCATCCAAGTGCACACACACAGCAGTGAGTAGTGAACACACACACACACACTGTAAAAACACACACCCGGAGCAGTGGGCAGCCATTTTTGCTGCAGCACCTGGGGAGCAGTTGGGGGTTTGGTGCCGCAGAGGCTATTCTGTTTTATTGATCTGTGGCGCATTCATTTTGATTCTTTACACGTGTAATGATGTCCAGTGACTTGTTTGCATTATTTATGCATTATTTTATTTATTTGTAAGACTTTTTTATGACTAAATTTGGTAATGGGAGAGTAAAAATATTTTTAAAACGTACACCGTTCAAACTAGGCTGCTTATGTTGAAGTGTTTGGGATGTGGCTTTTAATGATGAGACCTTTTTTGTAATCAGGCTTCCCAAAAAGTATATAACAATTTGGGTATAGATTTATCGGCCAACATATCGGTTACCGGCTTTCAAAAATAAAGAATAATCGGTTATCGGTATCGGCCAAAATTTTCATATCGGTGCATCCCTAGTTACCACGGTGGTTATTCACTCCCCCCACCTTCAATTCCTGACGGACCTGAGCCTCGAACCTGCAACCTTCGGGTTACAAGTCCAACTCTCTAACCATTAGGCCACGACTGCCCCCACACTTCACAGAGAAGTGTGACATGATATATACCTCTGTAAATAAATACAATTTAAATTCATGTCTTGCGCACTTTAATGCCCTTTGAATGTAATATGTGCGTTCCCTTCGAACTGGAATCATGGCAGAATATCCTGTGATGTCTAATTCGCAGGGCACTTACGATCGAATAGAACAAACCTCTGAAGTGATAAGAGAAACATACAAAATGTGCAGAGCGGGGGGTCGCGAGGAACAGGATAAAGAACCGCTGCTTAATGCGTCTCACCAACTAGGTGACAACGTAGCGCTAAATCACAAACCTCTGAAGTGATAAGAGAAACATACAAAATGTGCAGAGCTGGGGGTCGCGAGGAACAGGATAAAGAACCGCTGCTTAATGCGTCTCACCAACTAGGTGACAACGTAGCGCTAAATCACCTTTCTCTTTGGAGTGTAACAAGCTCTTGGTGCATAAAGAAGATCTGTAAAGTTGCAAAGAATAAAGTCTCAAATCCAAAGAGATATTCTTTATAAAAGTTAAGAGTCAACCACACCTACCTAAAACGGCTCGTTCTAACACGCCCCCACATGTCTACGTCACGATGTGGGAAGATTTGCATAACACCGCCCAAATGTTCACGCAAAGAAAGAAGGCGTAACTTTTATTCTCACTGTAGTATTGTTGTTGCTGCCGCCGCCATGTCGTGAAGATGCTGTGTGTTTTGTTGTGAAAGCGAAACTACTTTGTTTGGTCTTCCAAAAGAGGACGATATATGCTTCGTCATGCCTGGAGCTGATCCGTGCTGGTCACTGAGGAAATACATCAACTTCACGCTGTATTTATTGTATTATTTAATTAATATTAAATAATACAATAAATATTAAAAGAGAAATGTTCAAATAATAATTTAATACTAATCGTTTGTGAAATCTAACAACAAATAAAAAACTGTAATAACAATAATAATAATTTAAAGTAATTGTAATATTTTTTAATTAAATATAATAAAAATGACTGCAATAATAATAATAAAAATAAAATGTAATCCAAAAACAAACAAACAAACAAAAACAACTGCACAACTAATTACAAATGCAGATCTGCTTCTCAGTCAAACTCTGCAATTATTATGGAAATATTTGTGTCACCTACACATCAGCAGATCATGAAAAGCATGCATTTGTGCAGCCTATAATTAAAAGAAAGGCTGCTACCACTTTTATTATATTTTCACACTGCTCGAGTGTGTGCGTGCACAAAACTGTTGCTGACACATGAGGAAAGCTTCTACACACTCAGTACCACAAAGTGAAACACGCACAGTTGTATGCCTCAGTTCAGTCCAAGGGCTACTGATCAACAGAGAAAGAGCCTGATCAAGGCCAAAGCAGCCAGCATCACATTCATGTGGGGGTAAAGTCAGCTGAGGCTCTCATTCAAAGACTGCTGTATCTGCACCGCACCTGTAAACTGCATCTCTGAAGAGACTTTTGTCATGAAATAAGTCTTTGAATAAATCATTTTGTAGATTAAACAAATGGGAGGCAGTGGCTGTGGTGTCGTGAGATACGGTCCATCTGTCTCATGGACCGATGGGGGTCTTAATGTGCCCATAAGCCCCCGGAGCCCCTCAATCACATTCTCGCCCCACACAGGGGAAATACTCCCAGTCAACCAGCAGGAGAATAGCGAGCTTACGTATCCCAGCATCCCCTTCCTCCAGCTGTCCTCGAAAGATGCCGTATGCTTCTCCACCCTGTGTTTCACTCTGATGAACGCTCTCGCCCCAAAAATAAACACATTGCATGAATCTCAAAGCTTCTTCTCCTAAAGAAACGTGGCACACAAACACAGAACAGAGAAGAGAGGTGAAGTTTGAATTAAAAGGATAGTTTACCCAAAACTAAGGAAATTCAATATAGTTCATTTATGTTTTAGACCCCACTTATGTTGACTGTTGGGGGGAAAAAACAACTCAAAACTTCAAAATATATTTTTTTACGATCCACAGAAGACAGGTTTGGAACAGCATTTTCAATCAAATTTTTGGGTGAACTATCCCTTTAAAGCCCCACAGAAGTTATATTCGATGAAAACATTTTTACACAATCTTTATCTTGACAGCAAAAAAAAATCAGCATTCAGCTACATGATCAAGATGACAATTTGATTCAAAAGAAAATGTGTCGCATAGTGATATTCACGTCCAAATTGAATTTGCCTCATGTCTGTCAGTTTGAGCTTATCTACTATGCTGGTCATATAGGCCTAAGCTGATAAAACAAACTCTTAACAGATATACACATTTAGGATTTACAGTCTTTCACTTCCTGGAAAATGGACCAAAAATATTGATGAATCATATGCATGGCTGCATACAAATGTATGATAAATCTGTTAAAATAAATACTCTCTACAATAAGATGTCCCATTCTATAAATATAAATACCACCAACCACAGATCCAAGTTTGCAGAAAACAGCTCAGAGATACAAAGTCAAATGGCATAGTCATAAGTCATAAAGCCATTTGGCATCAATGAACCCCCGCTGGTGACAACTGGCCTCTTCATCGTACTCAAACATTGGCTGGTATAATGCAGTATATACTGTATACTGTCTAATGGTGTTTTTAAAAAATAGTACATTAAATGAAAATAATACAGTATTCTATGTTTACTGCTTACTGCATGTGTATTTCCAAATCATTTTAGAAATAAAAAGGTTTTCCAAATTGTTTTATTACATTTTGTGTTAAAATGTGTTTTACTGTAACATTTGGCAGTCTTATCAAATAATGTGTCAAGAAAAATTGTGGGTGATATTACTAATGTCACACTGGAATTTGTACGGGAAGCAATGCCAAGGTCAAGTTATGCACATATGCAGTATTGCATGCAGTGTGCTCTGGTATATACTGCATATTTAGGCAAAATAAAGTAGGTCATCAGTTATTCCATGCATACTGTGCACAATATGTGTATGTATATATATATATATATATATATATATATATACTGTATATATATATATATATATATATACACATACTGCAGAAATAGGAGAATTGAAGTATGCCATTCTGAACAGTGGTGTAATGTAACTTCAGTAATAATACTTCGTTACAGTACTTAAGTATTTTTTGGGAGAATCTGCACTTTACTTGAGTTTTAATATTTCTGTCAACTTTCACATTTACTCCACTATATTTCCTAATTAAAATGTATACTTTTACTCCGATACATTTCCCTGAAGCATATTAGTTACTCACTACAAAATAAAGTTGGAAGAAGACAGACTGCAAGAAAGCAGGTTTGACGAATCAGTGTTCTGGCGCTTGCAAGTTAGAATGCTAAAAAAAAAAACACCTTTGCTCATGTGCAAACAAGTGCTCACACAAAAGAGGTTGATTTAATTTTCCACTCAAATCAAGCCTGGGGTCTGCGATATATATCATCTGCGCTAATATTGTAAGTGTTGTTTTAACGATGTGCGATCTGACATTATCGAGTATATCACAAATATCAAACAAAAACACACCCAGAGAGTCTATTAAAATGCATTTAGAATGCCCATACGATTCAAGATATGAGGCAAAATGCCTCTGTATGTCTTTTTATATCACTTAATATAGTTAATCTTTATCACGCTAAGAGTTTTTTTTTCTCCAGATATCAGCATGATAACAAATGCAATATTGATTTTATACAAGTTATTAAGTTAAGTTATTTACATTTTCTATTTCGCCAGTGAAAATAGTACTGAGTAACACACAGGACAGTGTTTCCTTATTGAACGAATCAGTCACATGGTTCATTCCTGAATGAATCAACCCTTTGAAAGAATCGATTTAATCTCAATGACTCACTCATTAACAGTGGCTTGTCGCCACCTACTGGTGGCTTTAATTTCACATTTCAAGTATCTTTTCATGTTTTAAATCTTTTCAAATATCAATATTTAAAACAAATCATTATGTTTAAAACAAATCATTATTTATGCATTTGTAAATGCATCCTGGTTAAATGGATCCATGTCCCCTCTGAGCTGCATTAAACAGTCTGTATAAATGGATCTAAATGTCACTTCAGATGCAGATTCCATATTTGCAAAAACTGTTTTCTTATGTTGGAATGAAAGAGTCTTCGTACCAAATGAGATATGATAACCCAAAGATACAACATGGAAGAAAGAGTTAAAACCAAACAATCTTGCTGCTCAAACTGTGTATGGAACAATTTTTTATATTTATGTGCTCCTTTTCTATTTTGAATTTACTTGTACTTTTACTTTCAATACTTAAGTTTAATATTTAAAAATACTTTTCATACTTAAGTACAATAAATATCACATACTTTAAAACATTTTCTCAAGTAATATTCTAAACAGTTATTTTAATTTCTACCAAAGTCATTTTCTGGTAAGATATCTGTACTTTAACTTAAGTGTGGATTTCAAGTACTTTATCCACCACTGCTCATCAGCCACTACTAAAAACACGCTCATTAAAATTCTTAGGTTTGGAAAAGTAGACGCAATGTTAAAAGACTGGAGTGCTGATTGACTTGTAAGGATGTTTGTATGCTTTCCATGTCCTGCTGTTGCTTTTATGTGGGCTATCATCAGCAGGTATGAGTCTGAGAGGTGATGAAATTCAGGAAGCCATGAGGAAACTCTGGTGAGAAATAAAATATGACTGCACATGTGGCGGACGGTATTACCCTCTCATTTCTCAACACATCAACCAGCGTGCACATGCCATGAAAGTCTGGAAGAACACAGTCATCGGCTTCAGAGAATTCCTGGAAACGTAAACACATTGCAGTGAGCATGAGAAAGAGAGAGAGAATTAACCTGGTCACAGCACCTCGTGGGACACAGAGGCTAAAAGCGCTGGTTGTTTATGATTTCTTATCTTATGCTTTATAAAACAACAATTTTCTAATTGCACCAAATCAGCCTCAAGAGAATTCATGGCCAGAAGTTGCCAAGCTACACGCTAACTCATTAACGGCGGGAGTTCAAGTGGACGTTTCAGCACATTCATCCAACCGTGCGTGCGGCAATCTCTCTTAGATAAAACACTACTGTGCATGGCTACTCAGCAAAGAACAAACTTAATCAAGGTTATTACAGCCGCTAAGGTTAACTCTAAGTATTCAACAGAAGCTGTCTTGGAAATGTCTAATGGCTACTTTATGGTTTTGTTTACCAGAATGCTTAATTAATAAAAATCACTGTGAGGCATTGCAAACAGTGAGTGAAGGAGAACGCTGAAGCCCTGAGGCTTCAGAGACTCAATGAAGAGCATCTAAAGAGCAGATTAAATATATAACATTCTGCCGTCCTTCTTTCTGTTCAGAGGCCGAGAGGCAACTATGTTCAATGCGCACTGATGTGTTGAAAATGAAGTCATGAGAGAATATGGACTGTCCTGTGGTCATGCTGCTAGCACTGGTGACTGAATCTTTCTCTCTCAAAGACAAACGTCACAAAGGCTAACAAAGTCTTACATCAACACCTTTCCCACATAGTGAATCTTCATGACTTTTCCATGACCTTTCCATTGATTTTAGATAAGGAATTTTTCTGAATTATTTTAGAGAGACTGCTTAATCTGTACTGAATGTCAGGTACCAATCTTTATGAATAACTGATTAATCTCTTCTTCTTTGCTAACTAGTTAACGCACGAAACAAACACAAATGCACACCATAAGGAAATGTGTTATCTCTCATGTAATCGCTCAAACAGTGTTTTTTTTTCAACCACGGAAAGAGACGTCACAAAAACAGCTTGTGAAAAACACATAATGCTACATTTACCACAGGAAAGCCATTCAATGTCCAAAATTGGTAGTTGGTGAGAAAAAAATAACTCTAGAGAGGATAATTTTGCTAAACATATGCATTATATTTCATATTTATTACATTATGAATTATATTAATGTTTTGTTTAATGCATGTTTTTATAACAGCCACTGTTTAAGTGGCTGTTATATTTCAACAACAAATTCATGTATAAAACATATATAAATGTGATTTAAACAGCCTTATATGAAATTTAAATGTGTTTTGAGTGTTGATTATTATATCTAAAAATAAACAGCAACTGACTTTCATAGTTTGGAGTTCTAATGGTTTATTATTTTTAACCTTTAAGATTATAGCAATGTATCAAGTAAGAGGGTTCCCTGTATAGTTTACAGCATTAGTTGAGAGAGATTGGTTTCTTTAAGAAAGAATGTACATGTACTGTACCTGACATACAGTATACCCAAAAGAATCGATATTGAATCAAATCAAGGTTGGAATCGATTCAAATCAAGAGTTTGTGAATCTGAATCAAATTGAATCAAAAACTCTTTGTCAGCCAAGATTTACTCCACTCAAACTCACAAAAAGCAAAACTACAAAAAATGTAAAAGAAATTAACTGCATATTGAATTTACATAGTACTTATTTCATATTATTTTTTCCAGCCCTCAAAAGAAAAAAAAAAAGTTAAATGACATAATATGGTAAATAGCATTGCTATGAAAACTTATCCTGGCATGAGTTAATGCTAGGGTCAATTAACATGAACACCTGAGGAGTTTCTTTTAACCTGTCAACTGATTCAAACAACCAAGCACTCAACCAAGAAATCACTGAAGTGCTCATGCATGAATGTTATGTTGTAATGGCGCTTCACTTCTTTTCTCTTGTCTAGTTGTATTGCACATTGAGTTACAGAAACTCACAAATCACTGGCACTCACAGTCACTCAGGATATAAGCCAGTGGGGGGCAGCAGAACGTGGACTGACATGTTACAACATACA